ACACCGAACTAACCGACTCATCAAACAAACAAACACAAGAGTTAGAATATAGCCGATAAGAGCCACTACAGTCTTTGTACCGAAGGATAAGCATGTATGACAAATCTGTATGAAGGTGGTTGAGGGAGAGAGATAATTGCGCACGCGATCGGGTATGAAGTAGGTACGTTCTAGGTGACAGAAGTGAAGTGAGATAGAATGCGACCAAGATGAGACGGTCAGTTCACCTTCATCTCGATGGTACATCGAACCTCGGGGAATGATTGTAATATCAGGTTCGGCTGATGAGAGATTCACACAAGCAAATGAAGTCGGTGAGAAACAGTTAAGAGAGGGTAGGACAGAGCACGAGAAAAAGTGCGACCAAAACCACGGCAATACAACACTGACTCGGGTCAGGTAAATGCAAACGTACAGTCTGATACATACACACAGGCAGATGCAACGGAGAAGAAAGATGATTAGAAAGACGCGAAAATAACAAAACACCGGCTGTCCAGAAACGTGCACCATTTCACAGCCACATCTCGAACAGAATCGATCAGATCGGGATGAAATATGTGTACGAGAATAAAACGAAATTGGCTAACTTGGAAATTTGGTATCACTCCAGTAGCCGGCAGTTGAACATCATCAGTCCTTTCAAGGAACATTTATGTGTTTGAGTGTTTATGTATATTTAAGAGTGAGTGGGTTTCAGCACACAAGCAGATCGATAGATACTCGAGCTTCCGCTGATTTATGATGCTCCAAAGGGACAGATCGGGGTTGTCAATGCCTGCGTTGTTTCGGTTCAATGCTGAGACCAGTTGATCGTTTTAAGGTCGACTCCTTCCGAAACCATTTCCCAGAGGGGACTGTGAACGAGGCAGAGAATGAGAAAGTGAAGGAGACGAGCTCTTATAAAGATACATAGAGACAGAATTACATTGATTTCATAAGTGTCCATTCACCGGTTATCAAAAACAGATAGCGGTTAGTCATGATCTACTCGTAAAGGCTAAGTTTCACATCAGCAAAGCAACAGTGTGTACCGAAGAGATATGCACATACCCTTTAAACGAAAAGAGTACATCAAACCCACACCTGAGATATTGCGGACTGGAAAACGCCAGTCTCTTTTATCCCACACCGGAGGGTGATGAACAGCAGGAGTAAACCACATACTCACAAAGACTCGCAGTTCAGTCGTGGGAACCGGTAAATTAAGCCCCGGGGCTTGGGCGAACCAAATAAAGCCTGTTTAGGTTAGGCGTAGCATTGAACCGGACGACAGTAAAGCTGCCTACTACCGAAGTTGAGTGGCGGTGGCGGGCTCGAACCCCGGACCATGGGGTCCATAGCACGCCGTTGACAGCAACTATACAACAGCGCCAACACCAAGCTAATTTTGGATTAATTACACGTTGAGAGATCTTCACGCACACCGCCAGCCGTTATGCAACTTTCAAGATAGACAAAACGCTCAAAAGATTCTACAGTATATATCTAACAAATTGCAGATACAGAATCCTGATAATTTAGCAGCAACGCTTTGCACATTGGTGGCATAAAGCACACACCATAGCAAGCAAACTCAATTGCGAAGCAGCACAATGTTTTGGATCACTGTAGCGAAGTCACCGAGCAACACAATACCATTGGCATACTCCAAGTCTACCAATGTTTCTCAGGGATTTGGTTTAACGGCAGAGACAAGGCGACCCCGGTGTACTGCACTGGTGACAGCAGATGAGCGCAAAAGTTTGTCATAGGATCGAACCTTACCCGAGGTCTGACGATACAGTGCTTCAAGAATCATAACATACTTTTCGGGTAATCAGAATTGCAGCAAACAGTTCCACGGAGCAGGCAAGGCCAGCAATGGAGTACCAGATTCATTTGAGTTGAAACAAAATAAAACCACACGGAACCAGGTTGCACTGCGAATTTACCCACTCTGGATAGGAGTCAATCGGCGTAATCAAATGGATGTTAGCAGCTTCGGCGCTACCAGAATCAGACTTACATACTTTCCTGCGATTTGAACGAACATTGTGACAGTTCTTCCTGTGAATCGGTTTAGCAACCGAACCTTCTCATTCAGGGGGATTTTTGAAAACGATCTGATAAGTTCCGTCACAAGAACTTCTCCCAACTTTGAAAAGCGCCGTTAGCGCTTTTTTCATCTAGAATCCTTATGGCGTTTGAAGGATTGGAGCTCACTTTGGATCTCCTCGTCCTTGGACGGTATGGTGGATAGTGACCAGGTCTTATTTTCAGGGGAACTGTTTGAGGTAGCTACCGATGTGGAGCGCTCTGCCTAGCGTTTCAAACGTGGATGAAAACTGTACCGGTAAATACGTTGGCCCGGTTCACCAACTAGTCAGATTGTCAAACGGCCCTAGTCGAATTCTCGTCAAGAGCAGAGCTGTATGCTACCGAGCGCGTCCCCAGGTCACAGATAAGGGAACGGACGCTAACTTGCGTTTAGCAGTGAAAAAGGTGAATAAACGGTTGCGGACGATCAGCGGCAGTGCTCGAGGATGCGGTGGGTTTACCACTTGACAAGGGCTCTCTACACAAAACACATTTATCTTTGGAAGCACTGTGACGTGACGAGTGTGGTCCTCCTGTCGGGTACTT